TTTACCACGTATTAATTGAACGAAACTGTTTATTATTGTAAAGTGAAAGGTCAGAGAGGTTCTCTTCACAATGACCCAAGCCAAGATTTGATAAGATAGTCTACAACACCGAATCAAGACCGTGATTTTTATTCTGTTTTATTCTGCCCAATAATTGGATCAAAACAAATAGACATTACTTTACCTTTTTGATCGCCTTTTTGTTTATTTTATAATTATTGCAGTTGATAAAAGTATTAGGTATGGAACTCCTGAACGGTTGGATGGATTTTCATGAAATTTTATTTGTGGTTCTGAGTGTCCTCGGATGGTTTAGATTTACAATTGGACCCGATCGGATTATAGGGTTTTTTAAAAGCCGAGTTTTCGTTATTATATATCCGTCAATATCGAGCGTTCGATGTCGCGGGGGAAAATCTAGTAGTTCAGAAAATGATGCTTTGGGCTCGTGATTAATATTCTTATAGTTTATCGCCAAATTTTGACTGAAAATGGATAATTATGTTAATATAACTAAAAATCATACATATCATCTTGTGGAAAAATTAGTCCATGGCCTATTTTAGGAGGTTTTGCTGCCAAAAATTTTATAATTGCGATTAAAAGTAAAAACTATACCATCTCTAATTTATTTAATATTCCATTTTAACCTTCATGGTTATTGTAAATGTTTGGTCATTATTATTATTTTTATAGACTTAGGCACATCCGGCTTGTTCAGCTGGAAAATTATTTATTCAAGTTTACTGTGCTAACAACCGTAACGCAAATTATGAACATCTAGATGATCAGATACAAATACATATTATGTAATACGAGTATATACGTATACCTACATTTCGATCTACAATACCATCTTAAAATATTGAAACATGGCCTAGCTTTACGAAAAAAATGGGATAGGCGACAACAATAATCAATTTTTACAAAAACCGAATTTCACACTTTTTAAACATTTGACGGGGAGAACTAGCTGAATCTTAGTCGGCAAGCAATTTCCGCAATATGTGAGATGAAACTGTTGGTTTCAACAGCATGGTGCATCCGCGTACGACGCTCTCATCGTGCGAAAATGCCTATCGGATAAATTTTCCACTTTGTAGAAAATTTGGCCGGTGCACCATCATGTTGAAACCAGCAGTTTCCAACTTTTGTTTTTTCATTGTGTGCCGTACATCGTATTCGTAATAAAAAAATGTAATTCAATACAGTATGTGTCAGAGACACTTAGAATTAATTAATTTTTGAATATTTTTGAGATGGCATTGAGAATAAAGTTTTTTGACGTGACAGAAACAATTTTTTATATAAAGACTTTTATTTCTACAACCGAACCATATAATTAATGCAAGACGGGTAGTTTTGTGTTAATACTGAACAGTATGTACCTACTTTTTTTCCGAGCCGTATAAAAAAATAAAGTTGATGGTGATTTCACCGAAACGAAACGGTATATTGAAAATCTCTCAACGGTGTCTTGTAGAGCTCAAAAAGTGGATATGAGTTGTTGTTATATATCTGTTCAAATTACATCAGAAAAAATAAAAACGAAATCGACAAATTTCGGTTTATCTTGCATATCCTCGAAAGTAATGGGAATTTTCTTTTTTTACAGCATTATAATTAATCTTTAATTGCACAAGTACCTCTAATTTTCATCTCCATGATAACACATCCTTATCTTGGACACAGTGTTTATGCTATATATTGTTGTATCTATGACCATCAAATGCGGGACGTTTTGCTACAGCAAAATCCATTGATAAATAGCATTTTGCGGATTATTATTTGCAACTACATACATACCTCTAGTAAAATTCATAAGCAAACTTCTAAGATTTGTACACATATTTTCTAAAATTACTAAAAAGGTTTTCAAAGAAGACTCATATGTAAGAAGATTCCTAAGTATATTTCTTTCAAAACGTCTAAGAAGGTTCCCAAATGGGTTTTGATAATATACAGGGTGATTCCTATAGTACCTGCCACCGTTTGGGAGCGTATAGGGGGTGCCTAGGGGAAATCTTTTCATATAGGACACTTGGGGTCGGAAATCCAAAATAAGGGCGCCAGAACCAAATTTATCTTCTGGAATTTCACGCCTGTATGTAGGCAACCCAACCGACCGACGTTTCGCGCGGAGAGATGCAGAGCGAGTTAGCGCGAGGAAGCGACATGGGAGGGAAGGAGGGAAAACGACAGTCAAAAGCAATAACGTTTACAAGTGTTCAACGTGGCCACCGTTGTTCTCAATGGACTTCCTACATCTAGCCAACCACTCCCCTCGAACTCGCGTGAAGACTCCTATGTCCTGGCGAACAGCCTCTCCGGCCATGACGACGCGCGCAATTAAGTCCTCTTCGGATTCGACGGGAGTCTCCTAGACGTGCGCTTCCATCACACCCCACAAGTAAAAATCTAATGGGGTGATGTCGGGCGAGCGGGCAGGCCACTCCACCGCACCTCCACGGCCGATCCATGTGTCCGGATAGGTTTGGTCCAAGTGTTCCCTCACCTGCCGCCCGTAGTGAGCAGGGCACCCATCGTGCTGGAACCAGTGGTCCCAGTACAAGTTCACTGGAACATCCATTAAAAGTTCTGGTAGCACCTCGCGCAGGAAAATCAGGTAATTATGGGCATTTAGACGCGGAGGGAGGATGTAAGGCCCCAGTAGGTTGTCCCCAGGATGCCAGCCCAAACGTTTAAAGAAAACTTGTCCTGGTATCCTCGCGTAAACGTTTCATGAGGATTGTGCTCCGCCCAGTAGTGGCTGTAACGAGGATTAAAGGTCCCCTCTCTTGAGAATCCTTTCTCGTCAGTAACTAGCACGCTCCTCAGAAAGTTCGGATTAGCTTCTTCCTCCTGGACGACTAAGTTGCAGAATTCCAACCTCCTTTCATGGTCACCCGGCCGTAACTCTTGCACTTTCTTAAACTTATAGGGGTGTAAGTTGTTGTTGTTGGCGATGTTCCACACTGTGTGTTGACTACAACCCACTTGATCTGCTACAAATCGAGTGCTAGTACGCGGGTTTGCCTCGAAACGTTCCAACACATCCTCCTCTAAGGCATTTACCAACGGGCGATCGCGATCACGGGCGCTAGTGGGCTGCGAAATAGGAGGGGGTCGGTGTAAACAAACAAACTTTTCGAAATGGGTGCTTAAATGACCCAAGTATCGATGTGCATCACGAATCTGTGTGTAAAGTTAAGCCTCCCGTCAGCTTACCTGCAATTGCCCTGTCTCGCACAGTCGGAAGTGAACTTCTTGAAAGACCTGTCTGCAGGGTAACTGACGGTTTGGATACCGCTCAGCGTACGCTCGTCGTGCACCTCGTGCGTTACCATTTGCCAATCCGTACATGAAGTACATGTCCGCGTATTCCGTGTTAGTAAAACGTGCCATAGTGTTTATTCACTTGATACGCGTCGTTGCAGACGGGATTTCGTGGGTTTAAACAAAATTCTGATCAAGTGTCAGCCACACATCGCCGCCTGAGATCGCTCGGTGTGCACCGCCGGCCGGTTGGGTTGCCTACCTACAGGCGCGAAATTCCAGAAGGTAAATTTGGCTCTGGCACCCTTATTTTAGATTTCCGCCCCCAAGTGTCCTATATCAAAATACTCCCCTACGCACCACCTACACGCTCCCAAACGGTGGCAGGTACTATAGGAATCACCCTGTATAGAGATTTCTATGGCCCAAATAATGGTTCTAAAAAGATTCCCAAGAAATAGTTTCAAGATTTTTAGGATTGCGATTACAAAAAAAGTAGTCGAAAAAATTGAGTATAGAAGATTGCTGGAAGATCTCTAGTGAGCTTCCATCATTCCAAAGCGATTTTAAAGTTTTGAAAAAAAATTACTAAACAGGTCTTCAAGAAGTTTTAGCGATTGTAACAGGTGATCGCTTAAGGCTTAGAAAGATTTGGTTTTGAATTTACAAATTTTCCAATATGGACGTTTCGCTAGAAGCTTTTCGAAAGTGTTTTTAATACAATCGCTAGGAAGATCTCTTTTTGTTTGTTTACCAGTTTATGATTTGATCATTTGTGAAGGTGGTCGCGCAATTAGATCAAGTACATCTTACATTTTAGAATATTCTTTATTTACTATACTTCATAAGCTCTCTAGTGGGCCATAAATGACTAAAAACGAGTGAGTTATTGGTGATTCGATTTTCGTGTGTCGTTATTTTGAAATTCTTATAACTCTGGAAACAGTTGTAATGGGAGTCTGCTAGGCCGTTTAAATTTTTCGAATTTTATATTGGGGTAACATTTCATATGTACCGCTTTATGCGAAGAGTGAACGCGAGTAGGTTTAATAGCGACAATGAAATGTATGACACGACTGGCTTGACGATAAGGATGTCCACATTATTATGTACCTACCAGTCAATTGCGAAATCTTCCACTGCGAGCACCGTTTCACTTATCCTACGGAACTAGATAAAAATAAAAGTTCATGGTTGGTTCAAATGCGCTATCGTCCTATCGAAGCTCTGTCAGCGGCGACGAGCCTTCCTGTTTCGGTCGTTCCGTAATGGGATTTCTATGCGGCAACATAAATAGCGAAGCTCAAGTAAGAAAGGAGACAGACACATCAATTTCCATAACGTGTAAGTCGTCTGCTAAGATTGCGGTTTGTTTGCGCAGTTAGCAATGTTAGTGGAATCTAGGCTGCAGTTTGGGTGGAACATGTAATAGTTAACTGCTAGCGTGTAGTTCCAACCTCAAAGAAGTTAGGGGTGTTATGGTATTAATAATAGTGCATTATACGTGTTCCGAGCGCGCCCATTGTCATGACCCTTAATTTCCAAGTAATTAATCCAATCCAACCAAGACGCACCTTGACATCAGGGAAGCTGAAACGTAAGGCAAATTCCTATACATACATATTTCGAACGCATATTTTAATAAAACTTAAGTGGAAAGATTAGTTATATTATTTGTTGTATATGATTTAAGAGTCTTTACGAGATCCTTCCCATGCAGCTGTGCTAGCGCCTTAGAAGTAACATTACTAAATTTCAACAGATTCAATTTCAACAATTTGATATTACTGAAAGCGAGAAAGTAAATTCAAATAGTTTCCATTCGATTGAAATAGTCTGTTCAACCCATAGTATGTGGAGAGCGTGCACCCTTATAAAATGAGCGGAGCAGCATTAAACCCGATGCATGTATAGTAACTGGCTTTTCATGTGTACTATTAGAAAAAGATATATTCTCAGATGAACGCTTGTATAGAGATATAAACTACATTGGGGGGCGTTCTCACAAACAACACCTAAACATTCACAGTTGGAGTAGGTCTATCCACTGCCGACAATACATCTTCATATGGGCGGACACCAATCTTCTTAGGGACGAGGATCGTATCCACTATGCCAAATACACGCGCTTCCTCCGGACTCATAAACTTATCTCGCTCCATGCTGCTTTCCACTTTCTGCAAACTTAGCCCAGTATGCGCCACGTACAAATCGTTAATTCTTTGCTTCGTTTTAACTATCTCCTCGGCTTGTATCTGTATATCAGTCGCTTGCCCTCGAACACCCCCAGAAGGCTGATGTATCATTATTCGCGCATTCGGCAACGAGTATCTCATTCCTTTAGATCCCGCAGCTAACAGCAAGGATGCCATACTGCAAGCTTGCCCTACGCACCATGTCGATACAGGTGGCAGAATATATTGCATCGTGTCGTAAATACTCAATCCAGCCGTAATGGAACCTCCGGGTGAGTTAATGTACATGTGAATTGCCCTATTTGAGGATTCCGCTTGTAGAAAGAGTAACTGTGCCACAACTATGGAGCTCATATTATCATCAATAGGCCCCATTAGACAAATTATGCGCTCCTTTAAAAGTCTCGAAAATATGTCATAGGATCTTTCGCCCCTTCCTGTTTGTTCTATGACAATTGGTATCATTCCTACATTCCTATAGAATACATTTCCAATTAAAATTGGGCGTAGCATCTTTTTGTTTGCGAAGATATTCTGCAAAAAGCTGTCATGAATAGGTACGTGACGCAAGCTATGGTGATTTTATTTTTTTGAATGCCAAATTCTAAAGGGCTAATCATAGTACCTACAACACAGTGAGTTTCGTTGAATGGTAATTGCAGCAATGCACGTAGCATAAGAACTACCTTCACCTAAGTCACTAAGGGTAAGAAGACGTATAAGAAGAGATATCTTCAATAAAGGTTATTCAGGTCAGCGATAATTAAGACACAATAGATTGCGAAAGATACATAAATCAATATAATCGGCATGGGCAACAATATAGATGACGAAAACTACTACCGTTGGGGGTTTGATGAGCCATATAGGAACAGAAAACATTTGCATAAGATCCTAATTACCCACGTTCTCTGTAAAAGCCCAGCATACTCACTACTACTGCCTCTCATTTTAACTCTTCTGCTGTTTAAAATTTATGATTACTGATTAGATCAAATGTGGATAATCAACTATATGTACTTTTTTATTACATGAATAGCTATGTGCCCAATATTATCGAAAACTGTATATTTATGGAACGGTGTCACGGTTAAACTATTACATTGTTTTATGATTTTCTAGAACAATTTATGCAGTTTGTCATACTTGTTTTAATTATTATTAACCTCTTTGCATTTATTGTTCTATTTCAATCTGTTATATACGACCTCAATATTGGTTTCTTGCTGTTGACCGGTATTCTTTGCTATGATTTGACTTGTTTGTGTTGATAGTTGTCCATGTTAATGTGCCTTTTTATTGTTGAGTCATTATAAAGAACGAGCCCTTTCTTTATTTTGATCTTCAGCTCACTTCTGGTCGGTAATGAAATGTAATCTCGTCCCTTTTCACTAAACATGCGTTGAATGTATTAATTTCTTTTTAATGAAACCACCCCAAATTCTTATCAGATCGTAATATTTTAACTTTTAACGAGTGATCACGGTTTTTGACAAAGGTGCCTCTTTCGTTAGGTACAAGACCTGAAATTAGTATAGATTTGGTGCCGTGACCAGGATATGCTTCGATGTGCATGTAACATGCATTAGGTATTATCATTGAATAAAAACACTATAAGAAGCCTAACCCCGTGGAAATAAAGCGCGACAGAGATTGAACTGAGAATATAATGGGAACACTGTCAATAGTGTCGATTCTTGAACTGAGAAGAATGAGAATTTGCTTTCCTCCTATTTACCGCAAAGAGAGTTCGGTGGTCACAAACAATGCGGGTGCAAGGGGATTTGTCGCGCTTTCTTCCATAAGCGTTAGGCTTCTAGTGTTTTTATTCAATGGTAGTATGTTATTATGTATGAATGTGTGACCAAACGAACAGTTTTTTTTTAAATAAACAAAGGTTCTTAATGTTCCCAAACTTTAACACGAAATGGCGCACAGGAGCCAAGAAAAATACTCTAAGGAATTTGGCATCTGTAGTTTAACATGACAGTAATGAATCAAACAGTTCAATTTTTTTTAAATCATCAAAGGCACATTTCCTCAAGATCATAATTTTGTCGCTCTCTCGTTTAGAAGTACTTGACGTTAACCAAATAGGAGGAAATGCCTTGGCTTAAAAGCTAGGTGTTGGATCCAGACGGCATTCTCTTGTGCGGTTCAGAATAAATGAACCAAAAATACACCTAAAAAAGTGTTTAAAAGAAGTATTGCGCAAAATTGAAAAAACATGCAATAAGAAGAACAGACAGATAAATGTGAAAGTGATGACGATGTTCTGAGATCTAGCAGACCGAATCTTTTCGGCAAAACCATACATATTGCTGCTATTGTGCTTCTTTTGAGGGCTAGCGTGCACAATATAATAGTCAAGAGTAGAAAACTTTATCATTAAGGAACCTTTTATTTTTATTTTTGAAATCTCTAGGATTTAAAATTTTCATTGTATCCAGAACGCGGTTATAAAATTTTTGGGGGCAGAATTCAGATACATTTTGAGTTTTTGACATACGAGAGAGAGGAAGACATAATATAATATTATCCTTAAATCTATAGTTTTGTGTGTATCTACCGGGTGGTTCAAATTCGTGGCTCACAATTGGTATTTCTGCAACATCAAGAGATACAGTGTAGGTTAAATTAGGGCAAAGTTGTCCCTTTTTGTGACTAAAAACGCATTGGAAATTTTTGAAAAATCTTTGAAAATAACCATTTACCTACTAATACGTGGTACCTAATGAAATAACTGAGGTATCACCAAAAAACTGAAAATGTCAATTTTTTTTAATTTTTCTATCTTAAACGGTCGGAAATGGACAATTCACAAAATGTGTACAAAATTTGGTTCCAAACGGTTCGACCGATTAACCGGAAATGAGAGTACAGACAGACAGACCGATCAACATCATCGAGATTTTGTTTGATTCGGATTCCTGGTACTTCAAAACGTGTATTTCCGCAAAAAAGTGGGGGGGGGGGGTAAAAAAAACAATGTTTTTCATGTACCGTAATTTTACACTTTTGCCGTTTATTGTACTTATAATTCTATACTAGATACTTCTTATAAAGTTAAATTGAAATGACGGATGACTTCAGGAACGCGCCGGCTTCACCCACTAGATGTATATTTTTCTCCTAGATAGCCAGCATCTTTGTTTTTCCTTGTCCAAATAGGGCTGAGATTGTATCACAACGAGTAAATGCGTGAAGAAATAGGATGAAGGAGGGAGAAAAGAACAGCTCTCCGCGTTTGAGCGAGATGGACTCCTGCGACTTTTCTGGAAGAAGACCGTTTTCTTATCCGACCCCTATTCAATCAGGAGAGCTACTAAGTCGCCATCCTCCCCAATTATCAGGACGTGTTCAGAGGAAGAGCTCTTATCAGTGCTGGTCTTACTATGGAATCTTCGCCAAACAAACATCTCCCCACCTAAAATGAAATCTACTCGTCCGAAAGGAATAGAACCGGAGCCTGGGCGAAAGAGGTTTAGAATGGAGGTCTATAGTAGGAGATACATACGTACACGCGCGCACTTACACAAAAACCTTCCCTTCACATTCGAGGCCTTTTTTCCTTGGTTTTCTTTTATCCTTATTGGGCTGTCGACTAGGTAAATAAATTCAGGGCCGTATCGCGCTCTTTGGAAGTGGGCGAGGGGCAAAGGCAGGAAGGATCTTGCTCAATAAAAGTGTAGGAAGGTACTTTTCGTCTAAACCTAAACCTAAAAGAGGAATCAATACTGTAGAGAAATTCTCCGGTATAGGTATTGCATTTTCCCATTGTAGATGCATTCCTCCAATACTTTCGAGTATTCACATCGCCAGTAGATGTGGCGCGTCCAGAATATCTTTCCACCTTTTGAGAGTACCCTCCTCCGACGCTCCGGTCCTTTTGTTAGATCTTTAATTAGAATATCATGAAATATAAAATTAATTCCTAACCTTAGAATACCATGAAGGTATACAATGTGTGTTCTCGAGATATCTCGAAAATGTTGGAGGAGAGGAAAATGCAATATTTCGGAAAAGAGACTTGATTCTTCTGGCATTGTAGCCGTAAATTTTGAAAGAATGCCAGATGGGCTTTAAATGTTCATATGTGAAGAACTCCTTCCCCATTAATCATCCATCAAGAAAGCAAGCATCGATTGTAGCGTGCTACTACCTTATAACCCAACCATTTACTAAGCTATTTAGATTTAGCACAATGTGTACCTATACTTGTTTTATCTTATTTTACTGGCCGACTGGCCAGAAAACCACATGTAGGTAAATTTTGTTCTCGGTACTTTGCCTGTTCGGCATTGATTACCTACGTAACTAACATGTTGAAGACTAACGGGGTGGTCTTGCTTTGAAAAAAGTTATTTTCAGAGATCATTTACCTTGGTAGCGAAATGCGTAATCAATGATGAATTCAAAGACGTAGATACTGGTTTATAAAAGTCATAATTAACCTGAATCAAAGGTTTAGGTTAACAAGATTCATTGAAACTTTCGTCCCAATCGAACTACTTACCTACTTCTTACTGCTATCGACCTCAAGTTTTGGCGATGGTAAGAGATATCCCAGCGAGGCTCTACCTAGATACAACAAAAATATCTCTGCCTGCTTGTTCTTCCTTTTGTAAAACGTTCTTTTTATAGTAGGTATTTAGGTAATGGATCTTTATATGAAAAATATTCCTACGGTTGCTTATCCATTTTGAAACAAATTATACTTACCTATAATAATATTATAATTATATTTGAAATGAAATGTTGGTAATAAATAATCTACCTGTACTTCCGACATGGCAAGAAGGCACAGTCGGGGTATATTTAATTAGCGCATTTTTCGAAAAAATACGCTATTCGTTATGGATGGCTGTCCGACTGAGATCTCGACAATTACAATAACTAGATACTATAAATGTGCACTAAAAGCTATCTGCTATACTGGCTCTAGCCTCTAGTGAGATCAATAAAATGACAAATTTTGTTTGAATTTTATAAAGGAAGCTTGTAACAAAGGTTTGATGTCGTTTTGAACTTTGCTAACAAAATACTGATCTGTAATATCAAAAATGGGCTTTAATCATGCATACCGACATTTTACTTCAACAGTTTTACGTAAGTACATATTCTGGGAGTCATTTTTAAATTTCTTTGTACATTATCATTATTGACAAATGACTTACAAAAAACTACAATAGGGAGTCATTAGTTTTAGATTTTCCATTCAACTAAGTACCTATAATCTAAATTGCCAATTACACCATCCATTAAAATAATATGGAAAAGTCTTTTTTATGTTACGTGGGATGGTATCTATTTAAAAAACCAATACGTCACAAATATTCCATTTACATCAAGTGGTTAAAAAATTATAATTATAACAATTTATAAGTAGGGGAGAGTTGGGTAAAACGGAATAGTTAGTTATTTAGGTCTCGTAGTTTTTTTATGAAACTATTGCAAAGGACGGTTTTTTCCTTCATGTTTCAGTGATAAATAACCTATTTATTACTCACCATTACTGATCAAAAAAACAGCTGCATTATCAGAAAAAAATTTTTTTTCGTTTGAGTGCCAACTATCTCGTTTTAGCCAACTAGTT